AGTGTTAAAGATTTTATGTCTGAAGAAGTTGTTAAACTACAATGAAACGTAACAAATTTTAAATAAAATAATTAGGAAGAGAAACAGAATGGATACAGTATTAATTTTATTATTCAGTTATCTAGTAAAGAAGATGAGTATCCATCAAAACATTTAGGTTGTATTTTTTTTTACGATTTAGTCCAATACCACAGCAAAATTCTATCAACAATTTATAGAACCTGCTCATCATAAATCTTTCAAATCATTATGAAGTATTTTCATTGAGTTTTGAATTTTTCTTTAATATTAGGCATGGATATAGTTTAGAAAACAAAAGAAGTTCTTGAGAAATTCTAAAATACGAGAAAAATAGTTTATCTCAATATATTTTTTGTTTTCTAGAGTTGTGGCACTTGACACACGAGGCTATGGTCTTTCTTCAAAACCATCGCGCATTGCTGATTATACCTTACAAGTATTAGCTCGTGATATAGCAGATATTATTGAACAACTAGGTTTGAATTTGTAATTTTTATAAAATATCTTCTATTTTCATATATATATATCATTATTTTAGGCTATAAATCGTGTATTTTGGTTGGACATGATTTTGGTAAATATATTCAAATATTTTCATTCTTAAATGAAATAAAGAATTTTAAATTTTTTTAATTTTAAATTAGGTGGTGCCATTAGTTGGATAACAGCATCATTGTATGAAATTTTATTTAATATGGTGTATTTATAAAAATATTTTTATTCATCTGTTTCCAGATTTCCACATTTAATTGAAAAATTAATTATTATGAATTGTCCCCATCCTCAAACTTTTCAATCAGATATGACATTAGCACAATTAAAACGATCATGGTAAGAATTTTTAGTGTAATCTATTATATCTTGATTATATTCTCAAATGTTTAATTGAATTATTTGACTAGGTATATGTTCTATCATCAATGTCCAATGCTTCCCGAACTAATAATTCAATCCGATGATTTTGGATTATTTAAACGTGCTTTTCTTAATCCACCAATGGGTCTAGTGAACACCAATAATATGGATGAGAAAGATATTGAAGTTTTTAAATATACATTTGCACAAAAAGGTTAAACCCGTCTATCTAGACATGCATCAGTTACAGTTAACTGTAAAACTATAACTGCTCGTAACTGTAGACATATGTTCTAGAGTGAGTTAGTTTTCTACATTTTAAGGATATCTCAGTTCTTAAAATGTATGTAAATCGTAGAAGACTAACTCACTCTAGAATATTTGTCTACAGTTACGACAGTTACAGTTAACTGATAAAAAACTGTAACTGGGGCATATCTACGTCTATCTAACAAAAATGTCTGCTGTATTTGGTTCATTTTGAATTTTTTTTTTTTTTGTATTTTTAAGGTACTCCAAAAGCTGCTCTTAATTACTATCGTGCGATGTTTCGTTATCAGCCAGATCAATTATTTAGTGTAGCAGTACCAGCATTACTACTTTGGGGTACAAAAGATGGTGCAATAGGCGAAGAATTATGTCATGCAACGACCAAATATTGTTCAAATTTAAAAATTAAAAAATTACCAGATGCCAGTCACTGGGTTCAACAAGATCAACCCGCTGAAATTAATAAATATATGGAAGCTTTTTTGAATGAACATACATAGAATTATTTTAACAAAAAAGTTTTTTTATCAAACAGTAAAAATCTTTTTTTTATTATAAAATTTTATTCGTTTTATTGTGTTGATTGTTTTGTACTTTAGTACAATATAACGGATACAAAAAATATATTTTAATGCTTTATTTATTTTTGAAGTGATTCAACGCACTTTGTCCTGTTGTTAATACAAAGAGATAATCATTTAACGTTGTTGCAGTACAAATTGGGAGATTGTTTCTCAGAAAAACTTCTTGTTGTTTTGCTTAAGTGAAAAATTTGACTTACGTATGATTTTTTTTGCTAAATGAGCTTATTGAAAACATCTGAACTTAAGGGACCTGTCGTCCATTCTTAAGTTTTCACTTAATTTTTTAAATGAAAAATTATTATTTGTAACCTTGTTTTTGTAGTCAGATTCACAATAATTAGATAGATAAGATTTTTAAAAGGATTTTGTTCAAAAAATGAAACTTAAGTGTCCCTTTTAAGTACTACTTCATTTTTCCCTTAAAAATCCACTTAAGTGGAATATTTGTTTTTTTTAGAAACAGACTCCGAAACTGTCAATATTTTAACGTAGGGATGACACTTTCTCGTTTCTTTCCCAAAAAAGAAAAGTAAAAACTGACTTTTCTTTCTTTTGGAAAAGGAAAGTATAATATAACTTTCTTTTGTATTTTTCTTTATGAAGAAAGCACATTGAAACAAAACTAGGCTCATGTTCAAGATCAGCGTCGAAAACTGAATCGAATGATGTGTTTTGCTAAAACTTTCCGAAAACATTTCTTTTTTTCGCAAAATACATCACTCGATTCAGTTTTCGACGCTGGTCATGAACATAAGCCTAGTTTTGTTTCAATGTGCTTTCTTCATAAAGAAAAATACAAAAGAAAGTTATATTATACTTTCTTTTTGGGAAGGAACAGAAGTCCAAGTTTTCCAACAGAAAGAAAAGTCAGTTTTTGTTTTTACTTTTCTTTTCCTGGGAAAGAAACGAGAAAGTGCCATCCTATTTTAACGTATAGATATAGATTGAATAGTAAATGAATGTCGATAAACTATTAATAGTTGATACAATTAAACGATCACGGAACGTATATAAAATCTTCAGCGTAATAGTAACATATGCATCATCCTATCGATCTATTGAATGAGCGTTACTGTAGTACTTAATTGTGAGAAGGTATTTGAAAATGAAGGAACGTGTATGTGCTTTAACTTTGGAATGCATTATCTCCTCATGTTCAGTTTTGAGTTCAAATGAACTAGTAGAAGTAACATAATGTTGTTGTTTTTTGTTGATTATATCTTAGGGAAAGAATGCAGGAATACATTTTACAGAAGAAATACAAAAACAACAAATGCAAATGATTGTGTTCCACTCATGGTTCAAGTGGACTATTTCGTCAAACTTTAGTTGTCCGAATTGTTGACATTTCGTCTATTATTCGAAATTTCGCTTATTTTTCGCCGTTTTCAAATTCAAAAGACCAGTACTTTGAAAATTTTCATTCAAAATTGTGGAATTAAGTACTTTTCTATGCAACTCGGTGAACTCTATCCGTCTATCCCAAAAAATCCAAAAATAAAATCCTGCTTGATCTCTGAATTGCTGACATCTTACATAAGGATTATAGGAAAGGTGAAATAGCGACGAAAATTTTGGTAAATCCACAGACACTTTTCAGTATATACGAAAAATGTCTGCACATCTGAAACATAGTATCGACAATATATCCAAGATATGTTCGGTAGCTAGAGGTATTGACTAACGAGGGAACCTTTCCAGGTGTCCGACCGCTTTTCTAACGAAATGCGGTAGTTGATGGGTAATCGATCATGCTGATGATTAAAATGAGACATCTCCCAGCTCTGCATGACCGTTCTTTGCAAAGTTATAGAATTCACAAAAAAGCCCTAAATTCATCTTTCCTACTTCTTTCTGTAGCTCTGAGGTGACATTAAACTATTTAGGGCTTCTTCTCTGTAAATTCTATAACTTTGCAAAGAAAGGTTGTGTAGAACTGGGAAATGTTTCATTTTAATCGGAATTTCGCGGGCTACAGTCGTGACTTATTTAGAAAAACTCTTGGGGGATTTTTCGAGATTTCTGGAAAACCAGGTTTCCAGAAACTGGTTAGGAAAGGTCTATGGGCAAAACGGGCTATCATATTCGGGATCAGCATGGTCGATTATCTATCAACCACCGCATTTCGTTAGAAAAGCGATCGGACACCTGGAAAGGTTCCCTCGTAAGTGGAATTTCTCAGAGTTTCACAAGAACTACCATTTTCGTAAAAAACATTTTTCGTATAAAAGTCATCGTTATATACATTTTTGCCGAAGTTTTTTCGGGATCCTAAGCCTCGATATGTGGAAACGTATAGGTAAGTGCCTGATGTGTAATCTTTATAATCTGAGCGAAAAATTTGTGACATTCGTAGAGCTATAGAAAAATCTTCGCTCTACGCTTTGAATATCTTTGGACTTAAACTCCCGCAGAAACGGTAAATCTTGTCTTGCAAAAATAACCACTTGTTGATCATTGGTCAGCTTCCGTGATCTATCGAATTCTTAGTCGTACAATCAGCCAGACGTTTCTTCAATCTATCACCGCAGGTTTTTAGTTGTTCGTATTCCCGAGTTATTCCAGAAACACTCAGTGCTCTCCTATTTTAAAATGGATAGTGGTATTCTGATTCATTGGAAACAACTGAGGACAGTGACGATTTTGCCTGCCTTCAGATTGTAATGGACAGCCATAGAATTTGCAACTGAGCGAAGCGACTTAGCGTCAAGCAGTACTTCTCATCAATGCACATTCCATTTGAGCACCAGTATACTCCACCGTTACATTCGTTAAATTCTAGCCACAGTTTTTGCCATCCTTTCCATCCATACACTGCTATCACCATTGCAAATGTTTCGCCGGCCCAGACACAGGTAACCGTAGTCGCATTGGAGGGTCTCGTAGTATAGTATTCGTCCGCCCTTTGATAGCATCTGCTTTCTTTTGTTCAAACCAGGCAAAAAGAGCCCTGTTGAATGATTCCACTCCGTGCATTAACGTATACTCACAGCGTTTACCAAACGTTTTCCGACGTGTACAGTTGCAGAGCGACTGACTGCAGTCAGTCGCTTACTTTCTTCCGACATGTCGGAAGAAAGTAAGCGATTGTAAAAAAATCCCGAGCATAATCATCTACCTAATTAAGAGTTTACTAAAAGCTTGAAAAAATATATTGAAACATAAATTTTCGACCTATTTATGTGGTCATTATCAAGTATGTATGTTATATAGAGCGCTACAATGAAGTATAAAATAAAATCAGCTGCAACTTATATATATTCCCTTGGGTGAAAGTCTAGGATCAACTTAAAATACGAAAACTTAAAAATACGATAACTAGTGAAGGATAAGCTCCTAAGCGATCGAACCTATATCATAGACGTGATCAACCATGGCGAAGCAGAAAACGGTTATAAACAAGGTCTAGACACTTGTAAGACATCACTTTTTAGAGTGTTCACGTTTAAGTCATGTGTGAAACATTTCTTCTCATAGTTGATCGCAAACATGAACCGTAGGATAATTTGAGCCATATTTCCCATGTGGTTATTCAACTCATCAACGCCAAATTCTTTCAGTCATGGGTCGACTGAGTCGAAGATGAACGTTACTTGTAACTATATATATACGTATGAAACTGTCATCACAAAAGCATATAAAAATACTTTATTTATTTTATCACGGGTTGTTTCCAAACGTAATAAGTCGAGCTAAAAATACTACTACTGAACTATGCTTTAGAGTGCTGAAATGAATATGTATGTTTTCGTGTGCTAATTGTTTAGAGACGTTTTCATAAAAGAAACGTTTCTAGTTTTAAGTCGTTATATATATATTACTATTTTTCGTATGAGGTGAAAATAATTATTGTATCAGAAAGACAAATCTGTTTTGTTTATCTAAAGTAAGAAAAAATCTACATTATCAATATAAAACTAATGAAAGATATTATGACATTACAGAGGATACTAACGTATAAAAAGTTTCGCTCTTATCAAAATCATAATTATCAATTTCAACTGTTGATTGAAGACTCTTTCTATAGGAAAAAGCAACATAGAACTTATATTTACAGAATACAAACTTTTGGTAAGTGAAAACGTAGCCTATTATATAAACCTACTGTTTTACAGTTGTCCCATCCATGAATTAGTTTGAAAAATTAGCATGTTATTATTTTAAAGGCCAACTGTACTCATCACATACTTTCTCTCTCAACATAAATTGCCACTAGTGATTATAAGCAATTCTTAAGGGTACCCTCCCTCTTCCTCTTTTTTCATCTTGATGCCAAATGTGAAGCACACGTCCGATTGAGCTCAAATTTATAACAAAGATAGAACATCGAAAAAGAAAATCGATGTACTCTTGCCCAGAATTTTCTGAGATGTTCTTATATGGGTTTTATGGAGAACTCCAGTTTTCATCTAGTCACATTACGGTCCCTCGAAAAAATGATCCGATCGAGCTCAAATTTGTAGCACAGATACTTCAAACCCTATCTCAGGTTTTTTTTTTCTTTTCGAAAAATATGCTTTCCTTCTTGAGATATATGACAAATGCTGAAAATCACGCAAAAAAAGTCAGATTTTTTCAGTTTTTTCGCTGACTGGGGTACCTCGAATAGAGAGAAAGGATAAACCGACTTGGATGGAATCATATAGAACAGTCATTATTGTAGAATTATCCCAGTATTAATAAATTTAACCGAAAGTTAACATGATTAGTTGTGTGGACTATCCTCATCTTTGAAATTTAACTAATGTTACATGTTTTTGAACATCAAACGAATCTGAAACTGAGTCCACTTCTGCCATATTACCAGTGTCTACTGTTTCTTGAATGGCGTACTTTTTTTTTCTCAGATCATGTCAATTTACGACAAGTATTGCTTAAAAACCCTGAAATCATTATTATCAAATTTTCGTCCGTTATCAGAAATTTTTAGTTATTCAAATTTGAGTCACGCTCTACATAATTCTGTAACAAAATATCGTACACCAAAATTGATTCAGGTTAAACATATCACATTTGCTGTTGCATTGAGAGTAATACAATCATTATTATTACTTTATGGTGTATTAGATCTTCTTATTTCAAATCGAGGCTATCAAAAACGTGATAGCGCTTTAATAAGTAGCATAACAACAAAGGTAAAAGGGATTGGATTTACACCCGTTCCGGTTGATAACGCGGGTAAGAACATCAAGAAACAGATTATTTTTTAATTTTCGTAGACAAAGTTACACGGAAATAGGCATATATCGGTATTTATCGGTCGCAGTGCCTCATTTTTTGTCATTTAAAATTTTTAGTACGATAAAATGATCGTTTCACGAAGAGTACTGATACTGGTACCGATGACAGACAGACAAAAGATGAAGGTGTTGTGCCATACCTCATTTTGTAGAAAAAATGTTTGCTCTACAAAACTGTGTCGTCAAAAAGCGTTGATAGTTTGTAATGTTCAGGCAATCTGATTTAGAAAAGAGAGAAATATACCGATGCATGCATTGTAAAAAAAAGTATGTAAATGACACACTGAACGCCTCCCAGTCAGTCAAAGTCATTCCGAAAACTGCAGGATTCCAAAATTTACGAAAAATTTACGTATTTAGTGAATTTGTGGCATAAACACACCAAAAACTGTGAGTGTAGGAAAAATAACACGCGACCAAAGCCTCTGTTTCCAGGGCAACGTACGCTTCCTGCGTGTTATTTTCCTTACACTCGCAGCTTTTTGTATGATTGTGCCACAAATTCGCTAAACGCGTAAACTTTTTCGTAAATTTTGGAATCCTACAGTTTTCGGAATGACTATGACTGATTGGGCTATACGCGATTCTCAGTGGCCGTCTAGAATGTACGGTGTAAGTGTGTAAAATATACGTAGAAAAGTGGTCATATGGATTTATACACTGGGACCAATGATATAGTCTGGTTGTATAAACCGTATGTGCTAAAAATACTACAGATTTATTGATCGGTTACGTTCAAATTTGACATATAGCGATTGTTTTTGTTTTCACTTTTATTTTGTGACCCATTTTGCCTCAAAATGACAGTATAGATACTTTTGAAGATGGTGATCACGATTTTGAAATGATGTTTTCGTTTTATGTAGTGGCTAGGCAAGCAAAATGAAAAATATTAAAATTTTTTCACACATTTAGCTTTTTAGACACTGAGATTGACTGTCTAGAAAAAGTATACACTACACACTTTTCGATATCGAATGAACGTTTAGGCCATTTTATACACCTGGTAACATACTTTATTTTTTATAGTATGGAAATTCAAATATTTTGTTGAGATGTTTTTCAAATAATATTTCTTTAGAAGCAAAATAAGATAAGACAATAGTATTATTAATAATTGTCTTTTTTCATTGATTCTAATAATTTTGAATTCTGTAATAGAAATTTTTACATTTTAACTCAGAGCTAATTGAATTTAGACTATGTTATACCACCATCTGAAAATAATGCTGTATTTATCATGACAAATTTTATTCAAACTGAACAAACACGTTCGGTATGTCAAGAGTCACCAACTACTCAAGAGGCAACATGTTATAATGATGAAATGTGCAAAAAATTCGTTAGTTTTCCACAAGCTCATGGACGATGGACTGGTCGATGTCTAACAGTAGAAAATGATACATCAAAAGGAGGACTATGTGAAATCGAAGGTATTATATTTAAATCATTTTTAATTGACTATAAAAAAGAAATTTTTTTTTCCTCATTGTTATAGGTTGGTGTCCTGTTGAAGATAAAACTAACAGAGTCATTGATCAAGTATTAAATTTTACTATTTTCATCAAGAACTTTGTCGAATTTCCAACATTTAATGTAGTTACTAAAAATTTTGTCGATGATATGACACCGTGCAGTAAGTTATACACTCATACGATTAGGCATGCAACAATCCCAAGGTAGGGCGCGCGGGTATGGACCCCATAAGTTTTTTGCCAAATTTTTGGGGGAAACAAACCATAGGGGGGGGGGCGCGGG